TATTTATATATAAATAAATTATTCATAGATTTATAGTTTTGTATATATGTTTATTGTTGTTAGGTGTTGTACAGGTATCTGTGCAGACATAATGTCTAGAAAGAGGGTCACAAAAATGTAAATTTTCTGTAGAAAGTGGAATTTCAGGTGATTTTTAACTCATTCAGTATATTTTGGACATTTAATTTTGTTGTTTTTTTAAGCAAGTGTTTTTCCAATCAGATAAATCAATAAGTATTTTTATTCTTAGTAAGTTTTCCCAATAAGCTATATAAAATTGTGTAGTCAGAGTCAGATGAAATATACAGAGTTTGGCAGGCAGTTTTCAAGTAGATTCACCCCTCTCTCTATCCCTATCCCAATCTCTTTGGCATTGTATGTCTGTTTCTTTGTAAATAAGCAAGGAAATAAAAAATACATTTATCTTACATTTTTATCAAGTTACTTGTTAGTGTGTATATTGATATGTTCCTACTTAATTATCTTTATATATGTTGAGAAGTTTGCAAAGTAGGTGTTAATTTGGGCAACACATTTGGCATGATTTCGAGGAATTAGAAATTAGTTCTCTAAAAGCAAATTATGTGAAACCCCTCAGGAACAGTAATGCAAGTAGCATACCATGAGGGTAGGGGTAGATAGGGGGATCATCCCCCTTCCCCAGGGATGAACAGCAGAATTGTGGGTGAAGGGAGACAGTTGACGGTATAAGATATGAAAATAATAATAATTTATAATGTATCAGGGTTTATGAGGGGAGGGAGGGGGAAAAGAGGAGCTGATACCAAGGGCTTAAGTAGAAAGAAAATGTATTGAAAATGATGATGGCAACATATGTACAATGTGCTTGATACAACTGATTTATGGATTGTTGTAAAAAAACCCAATAAAATGATTTATTTAAATTTTAAAAAGTAACCTCTATTCAAATCAAGAAGAAGGAAATTTAAGGCAGTCAATAAAACACGGTTGCCATTGACTTGATTGTCACTCATCACCCCTCCATGTGTGTCAGAACGGAACTGAGTGCGCTCTAGGTGCTTCTCCACTGTGAGCCCGGGCTTTCCTCCTAAGCTGCCTCTGGAGGGGTACGAGCCACCACCTTTTCAAGTAGTAGTCAAGTGCTCAACCATGTGTACCACCCAGATGGCTGCCATTTAGCTAGCTCGGGATAAATCCTTCATGGAATTATATGAACAGTGGATTAACTCGCTGAGCTGAAAGAAATTCGGGTATGTGGAATTCTGTGGACATTTAGAACATGAATAGTGACTTGTTCTATAACGCTTTTAATAATTTT